CATCTGCTATTTGTATAATAATTGTTTTGCTATTCATTGGCTTATCTTTTCCTCATTATTGTAACAATTTCATACTTGTCTGTTATGGGCTCTAAATTAGAAATAAAATGTTATGTTCTGTTCTGTATACATTGTATATCGTGCTCGAAAACTCCAAATCTTAATTACCTGTTTGCTTCACGTTTAGACGCATGAATCTTTAGAGTGTGGCCAGGGAGGTTTAATTATTGAAGTACAATTCAAGAGTATAGTAGGCGAGGAATGAAAATTACCTTGGACCCTGTTAAAGAGTTTAGTACGTTGGTAGGAAAAAACATAGTTATAAAGTTTATATAGGAATTGAAGGGAAGGACATCCCTATAAGATTTTTAGATTTGGGAAAGAAAATTACAATTTTTAATTTTTCAACAAGTTTCTCGGATGGAGGTTTTGTTTACTGATGACTATGTCCCCCTCACCTTTGAAAAGAAAACTCAAGGAACCACTCTTACGTGCAGAAAAGGTTGTTAGCGTTCAAAAGAGGAGAAAAGATTCCAGTTGATAATAAATTAAATATGCTTGTAAATTTTTTTTGTTTTTGTTTTTACAAATTAGAGATGATTTTACCTTATGGGCTAGAGGCAGCAAATTTAGTCACTCGAAAGATTCTGAGTATCAGCGTTGGAGAAACTTGACTTTTATACTATTGTCTAAACAATGAATGATAGATTTCTGAAAGGTTCAAAATGAATGCCGATGGCACTTGCCTTTTTTTATCGGAAAAATTAAAAAGATTCCACATTTTAGAAAAATAAATACTACAATTTATCAGGAACAAATCAGAGGCGTAGACACAAACTTAAAAGTGGGGGGAGGGCTCAACTCCAGAAATTCTTTGACAAGCAAAAAAAAAAAAAAATAAAAGAATAAAAAAAGAGTAAGAAAGAAAAAAATGAAAGTTCCCCAAACTCGAAAATCCTATTTCGTGGGGTGGGGGGGGGGGTGTGGGGGTGGGGGGGGGGGGGTAAAGGCCAATTTTTTTTAAAGGCAGGGTACTTTCAATTCCATTTTTTTTTCACAATTCCTTGATATAACTATACTAGGGTCAACAAGTAGGGAGGGGGGGGCAACTATCCCTTCAATGAACATTTCCTTTAGTAGACGTAGTGTTGGTGGAAAAAATAGCTGTGGTTTTGTTCTGCATTTAAAAGTGGGGGGGGGGGCGCACAGACATACTCTTGGCCCCCTCCGATCTGAAAGTGTTGGGGGGCTTGTGCCCCCGCTGCCCCCTGTGACTACGCCTATGGAGCAAATAGTATGGCATACAAGGTACACTGTACATGTAATGGAAAAATCTGTGATTTTTCATGATGATGCATATTTTTTATTATTTTAATGATTCTTAATAATTTAGTTGATTCGTCCATTATGTATGCCGAGTTACTTATACAATATTGTAACGAGTTCTCTCTCTCTCTATTCCAGTATCAAATCCAAGGGGTGACATTGGGGGTGGGGGAGGGAGAGAGTGTGTGTGTGTGAAAAATACATTCACAAAAACATTCCTTTTTAGAGTTTAATCAGATGGCATGTTTCAAGTCGTTAATATTTTATAATAAGTAGATTTAAGATGCATGTTTTCTACAATGTCCCCAAAAATTCATGCAGCGGTGTCAAGTACTTAGTCCTGAGACTGAGGATATTGTTTGTACGAAAACGCAAATTAAGCCCGACTAAATATTGGCGTAATCCGTGGACACACTGTTATAACGCACTTTGAAAATTTACGCACTTTGAAAAAAAAAATTCAAAGTGCGTTAAATTTGGGAACAAGCTAACTCACTTTGAAAAATAAATTTTCTTTTCAAAGTGCGTTTATATCGACCATGTTAACGCAATTGAGGTTATCTAACATTAGACAAATGAAATGAAGAATTGACTACTTGGCGCAGACATGGAAAGTGGTCTAAAATTAAATGCTAATAGTCAGTGCATGGATTAAAAAACAGGTGATAATTGACTTACATATTTTATCATAAATAGTATAGTCATTAATAGATTATACCTTTAATTACAGGTTTAAAGTTTTTATCTAAAATTAAAGTTTACTATAGGTTGCTACTGCAACAGATCAAAGCCAAAAAAATATTACATGTTATGCTGTTAAAAAAATGTTACCAGAAAAAGAGAAAGGGGGAGGATGGATGGAGAGGCGTTGGTATATATAAAATATTATAGTATAAGAATTATTTGTTTCTATACATAACGTCTACAAATCTTGGTATTTAAAAATGCAAGTTATTTTTGGGCGAAATCAGTATATTTTGATAAGAAAATAACTTGGGTTCCCTAAGGTTGAATGTATCCATACTTGTAAATATATACGGTCTACTTAAGGTGTATAAACCAGCATTGCATACGTCTCCTTAAGGTATATATTGCATATGTCTACCTAAGGTATATATATTGCAAATGTCTGCCTAATGTATATATATTGCATATGTCTCCTTAAGGTATATATTGCATGTGTCTGCCTAATGTATATATATTGCAAATGTCTCCCTAATGTATATATATTGCATAAGTCTCCCTAAGGTATATATATTGCATATGTCTCCCTAATGTATATATATTGCATATGTCTCCCTAAGGTATATATATTGCATATGTCCCCTTAATGTATACAATATGGTTTTTAAATATTAGGGGGACACCAAATTATATATATCTTTAAAAACTAATGTTTTCTTAATTTTTATTGTGAAAAACTCAAAATTGTTCTTTGTTATATATAAATTTGCACTTAAAGCATCACAAAGTAAAAGATTAAAAAATATACAAAATGTCCCCTTAAGGCAGAATATTATGTCTGGTACCCCTTATGTAGAAAGCAGATATATATATATATATATATATATATATATATATATATATATATATATATATATATATATATATATATATATATAGATAGATAGATAGATGGATAGATAGATAGATACATAGATACATAGATACATAGATAGATAGATGGATAATCCAAAAAAAAAGAAAAAAAAAGAAAAAGAAAAACACGAAAAACTTCAGTAAAGGTTTAGGCCTTTCATTCTATCTTCAGAAGCTTTACAAAATAAATAACTATTGTTTATTTCGTAAAGCTTCTGAAGATAGAATGAAAGGCCTAAAGCTTTACTGAAGTTTTTCATGTTTTTCATTTTTATTTTAAGTATATATATATATATATATATATATATATATATATATATATATATATATATATATATATATATATATATAGTAAGTATAAAATGCGACTTCTGTTTTGTGTCATATTAAACTAAAAGAAAAAAAAATAAGAAAACTCCATTTTAAAAGATAGTTTAAATGACTTTATATGAACCTGTTTTTCTCAAAGATCTGATGCAAGTTATTGAACATAAATGGTTTCTTATTCCTTGACCGTCGTAGGGCGAGGTATGTTGTTTGGCGAAACTTATCAACTTATTCATCAAAGTGTAACAAATCGGAATAGTCCACTTTCGGGATAAACAGGAAATTAAAAGTAAAGTTAACCATTCATAGCCGTTTCACTGCTTTAAGTATTACTTGCCTATATGTATATACGATATGTAATGTGTACATGTGTTAAATATACTTTCTAAACCTCGAAATGTATGCAACATGTATAAAGGACGTTCTTTTTTTAATTTCCTTGAAGCTGTCACGCCTACATAATAGAATATTCCAAAGAAAAGGCGCGAAGATTTACTCATGGCGTTTGGCGCGAAATAATGAATGGTGGCCAGCCTTTCAATATTCTTAGACATGTTTTGTTACAAAAGTATATATACGAGTATGTACAAGTACATTTAGAGCAGTGGTCTCAATAGCGTTTTTGGGAATAACAGAAAAAAAGCGTTTTGGATTTTCGTGCTGGCGACCCGGGCTCGATCCATCTTTCTTGTGTCCAATTTTCTTTTTTTCTTACTTTTTCAGGTCGATTTAACGTTTTCCTCCAGAATCGGACGGAAGACCCCTCGTTGCTCGCAACGAGATCATTTCTAGTAATTTTCTATTTATTTAAATTTTCATTCAAATAAAAACGCTTTTCCCTATAGACTTCATTGCAATCTTTGTTAATTAATTACTGCTTTCTCGCAGGCAATACTTTTCTACTATAAAATGTTTAATCAGAGTATTATGTACTTGATGGTCATAAAAGGGTGGATAATTTGATCCTATTAGGGAATAAATCTTTAACATATCAATATGTAAGTCCACGGATGAAGCTTTAAGATGATCTTCGTCAAAGTTTCCCTGCCCCGATAGATATATTTTCATCAATTTAGCCCTCAATATAGAGCCTTAATCTTGGAAATGTGAATTGCACTTTATTATTGCTTAATGTTTTCATGAATATATTTTTTATTCCTATGGATCAATCAGAAAGAAAAACAAACATTATTTTCCAAAAATAATGTAGAATTATAAAGGCTGGGCAAATATATATTGATATATCGGTATTTTGCAATTCAATGACAAATTGCTTAGACTAAGGAATTTTGTCATTAAATAAAAAAAAAGATGCAGGACGGGTTTTTATTTAGCCAAACAGGAAGACAGAAGCTGTAATATGTCAATACATATCAGAGCATAACTTTAATATTATAAGATTTTTTTCTATTGCTTTTATCATTCTGAACACAAATTAAAGTTAATATAAAAGAATGATATTTTTATAACGTTGTGATTATTGCAATACATATGGCAATACTGTCAAAAATATTGCAATATATCGCAATACATGGTCAATACCCAGCCCTAAGAATTATGATGTACATGTATAAAGAGTGTACCTTCAATTAAACAAAAAAAAAAACAGTGGTTTCTACCAAACATTGTGAAATTTATGTGACACTGATATAGATTTCTAGTTGCAGGTCTATCTAAGAAGAACACAAAAAATGCTTATTAGTGTTATGAATTGCAGACTTATGAGCATATTTTAAAGTTGTCTATGTTTTAAATAGATGACACTGAAGAAGCAGCTGATCTTCTTTCAGCAGACAGAAACTTCAGGCGTAAGCATCTGAGTAGCTGATAATTTTCTTTTAAAACATTTCATAAACTTGCATTTTTAAGAATAATAAATTCAATATCTCTGCTTAGTGACACGTAGATGACATATGTATACTGAAAATGAAATTAAGAAAATATTTAAACCACTTTCAAATGTAGCAATGGTTAAAAAAAATTCTACATACGTTTAAACGACGATATATTTCGATTTTATTAGGAAATATAAATATTAATTTACAAAACTAAATGTCATGAAGTCAATCTAAATAAATAGTAACTTTCCTTGCTTTTTGGGGTCATCTCAGCTGAAACATAGCGATATTTAACGTTTAATTTAAAGGCCTATAAACTCTTGATGGGGATATGATAAAGAATTTGTGATAATTTTATATCATATTTTTAATACATGATTCTGGTTCATGAAAATTGAAACCTTTCTTTAAAAACTCCTTCACAAAGTCTTAATTTAAGTTCGTTTAAAAATATTCTTTAGATAAATTTGATTTAGAATTAGGGAAAGCTGTTAAATGCACAGGAAACAAATATAAAGGAAGAAATCATTCAAAAATATTTTCATTAAAAAAATCAAAGTTCTGATTATTCTTTAATAATATGGAAGCAATTTTTGATAGCGAAGATACAAATTTTTCAAAACATTAACCCCCACCCCTCTGGGGTGGGGGTGGGGAGCTCGGCTTCAGTAGGGAAACAAAGTTTTACATGAAATAAAGATAACGGATGTGATAATACAAGCTCAAAGGTCCATTGTAACAATACACGCCGTAAGCAGACTAAACACGGATCTCTTTTATCAAAGATGGGATCAGGTACCATGAAGTAGTAAGCATCCCCCGTCTAACGGGCACAGTCGCCATCTTTGATGTTCTGGTCATGATCGAGTAGCGGAAAAATACGTAGACAGATCAGCTAGTAAAAATGTTCTAAACATTAATATGAAAAACGTCAGACAAGCAGATATAATACCAAGATACTTAAATGAAAAAAAAGTTAGGCGAGATATGGGCGATTTAGATGATCAAAATGTTTTAAAGAAAAATAAAGAGACAATTCAAATGAGGACGATAAAAAATCAGATGTTTTAAATCGAGAAAACATATTTCACCTTTTTCTCAAAATGTATGAAAAGAAAAAAGACAATGACAAGCTTTGTTTCAAAATCAAACTGTTTTGATATTTTAGTAAAGCGAAAATCTTCGAAGTCAAAGCAAGCACCGGAACCACCACCAACAAATACTCCAAAGAAGAATGTTGAAACAAAGTGAGTTCATGTAATGTGGTAAATCTAACAACATTTAGGTAACAACTTTTTACAATCTGTGTCATGTGTTTTCAGACTTGGTTTTGAATATTTTGTCCCCTAGCTCCGTGGTGAGGGAATTACAAAGTATACAGGAAATTAACATTTCGAAAATGGACGTATTTCATAGAGAGATCCACCAATATTCTTGATTTTTCCTTGCTCGACGTCAAAAACATCTGTAGTATATAATACAACAATGTAAGATAGACTTTGGCAATAACAACACTCCCTCATCACATGCATGACAATTATGGTAGATTTTTTTTCTCAAAATAATTTTGTTGAGATTGACAAATCTTGCTTCTATCCATTTCGTATCCATTAAAATTAGTTTGGAAATTATGGAACTTTAATGTTAAATGATATTTACTTTGAAAGTCAAAATATCTCTACATACAAATTTGTTCAGCCCTTGGTTCTATTTTAGATTACCTGAGCAAGAACAGAAAACTGCTAAAGATCGGAAAATACCTCCACCACGACCTTCAAAGGGGCCTGCAAATGATTAGTAAGTTGAAAAAGTTGGAATTGTTCGACAAATGGTTAGGTTCGTCATAAAGAGACAAATCTTATCTCAATAATTTTATTCAATCATTCTTTTTTTTTTTTTTTTTTGGTTTTTAGATGGTTAGATATTAATAGAGATATTGATGTCTTCATAAGGTTCAAAAGGTTCAGGTGAAAAAGTTCCATGAGAACCTGATTCAGAAGTTTAAAAGACAGAACATGAAAGAAACACAAAATATATGTGAAGTATTTTGCATATTATTTTCATGGAAATTGATTTGCTCATTTTGTATTTATATTATAGGTAGTACACAATAAAGTTAAGCTTTACTAGCCAAAGACCAAAAGAAAATATGGTAAGGTGTCCGTCCGTCTGCCTGTCTGTCTGTAAACAATTTTTTCAAAACGCTACTCCTCCTATACTTTTGGTTTGGTTTCAATATAACTTGGCATACAAGTAGAGTACACTAAAATACTAGTACATAAACTAGTGGATCGATGTTTGAATTTAAAGAGCAGTGTTGCCAGTGTCACTAAAAATAAAAATTTCCGTGAAATTCCTTTAAAACGCTAATTTTCCTCCAGTTTTGGTCTGATTTCAATCATTCAGACTACACTAAGGTATATAAACTAGTGCATCGAAAATTGATTTCCATGAAAAGTATTGCAAGGTTACTTAAAACAAACATTTCCGTAGGATTCTTTAGAAATACACCTCCTCCTACAGTTTTAATCAGATTTTGATATAACTTGGCGTACAGTTAAACCACACCAAGATACATAATCTAGTGCATCGGTTTTTATTCAACGAACCGTATTATCCATGGTTACTAAAATATAAATTTCTTAAAGAATATCTTCAAAATGCTACTCCTTCAACAGTTTTGGATTGATTTCAATATAAATTGGATGTCTTCAAGATCACAATATCATAAAACAATACGGAATAGGAGCAGAGCAAACACGGACCTCCAAAACATCAGAGATGGTATCAGGTGCCATGATGGAGTGAGCATCCCCTGGCGACTGGTCACATCCACCTTCTGCACTTTATCATGATCCGACGATAACGGGAAAATCCGCCGTCAATGCAGTGTTTAAAACTGGACAAACAATTAATATGAAAAACGTCAGTCAGCAATTTAACCCAATGATCATAATAAATTGTATTTGCTGGCAAGGTCATTGTATCGACTATAGAACTTACGCAATGATGACATCAAATGAGACAGCTGACATTATTGTTTCATCAACTTGTTTGTCAAATATTTACCTCTTTTTAGAAATTTTTCATACATAGATCATGCTCTTGCGTATCGAATCAACTGAAATTTTTAAAGTAAAATATCCAAATATGAAACAAATGTGTCAGACTCTGTGATATTTTTTTATCTCAAGCTCGCCAGTATATATCGCATCGACAGAAGAATGGAAATGACCATTGTTTGCTGACAAACGTCGTCGATATAATACAGTTATGGAAAGGGTACGAGGGAAATAGTTTCCTGCCGAAGGGAACCATAAATTTGCTATTTCCCGAGTTCACTTTCCATAACTGTTTTATTATACCGATAAGATCATAGGCAATTTATTTTTTTACACCGACATTTAAAAAAACACTTTAGAGGCATAATCACAAATGCATGCGGTTTAACAGATTGTATGATCATTAATCCTAAAATAATTGACATAAAACAGTATAATTATTTTCAAAAAGTATTTTCACTGACATTTCAAAGAATTATCGTTGACATCGTATGTCGAAATGTTTTGACGTCAAAGTTACATTGCTACTAACATGACGTCACAGATTCCTTGAACGCTCCGCCCACTGAACACTTTGATTGGTTAATATTAGTAATAGATATTCATGAGGGAGTTATCCCAGGGAGTAGCTCTGATTTTCCAGGGAGTAGTTCTCAGATGAGGGAAATAGTCTCTTCTCTTCTCGGGGAAATAGGCAGTTGTATGGTATTAATTTTATATAGAGTAATAACAGTAGAGGTATAATTAATCTAAATGCCGCCTTGAAGGCCACAGCAAATGTTGCCTTCTTTTCACGCATAAGACTTTGCACAAATTCTGTTTCACATGAATACAAAATTTGGTATGCTAATAACGGGTGCAATATTTACCTATGGAAATTCCAGTAGATTGTTGGTAGACCTGGCCTCCAAAAACGACATAGATATTGTCGATCAGAAACTCAAGCATCTTTTTGATGTCATCTTAAGAGTACTTGTGTTTTCAATCAAGATATAAAAGTGAATATGTTTTCAATCAAGATATAAAAGTGAATATGAAGGTGATGAAGGTATATTGCAGCATAAGTGAGGGAACTTGGCGATAGAAAAGTAAACTTAATCATTTTTATATTATCATAGAGCTTGGTTGTTAGATTACCATTATCGTCTTTTTGAAGTAAAATATCCAAATATGAAACAGATGTGTCACACTCTGTGAAATCTTTTATCTCAAGCTCAGCAGGATATATCGTTTCGACATACGAAAGGAAACTACTATTGTTAATTGACAATACCTAAATGTCGAGCTGAAGGTCACAGCAAGTATTTTCTTCTTTTCACGCATAAGATTTTGCACAAATTCTGCTTCATAGGAATACAAAAATAGGTTTGCTAATAAGGGGCGTAATTGGTACTCATGGGAATTCCAATAGATTGTTGAAGACCTGGCCTCAAAAAACAACATAGATACTGTCAATAAGAAACTCAAGCATCATTTTGATGTGAACTTCAGAAAGTCCTTTTGTGTACAATCAGAATGTTTTTTTTAACAAAATAAATTTGCAAATGTTCCAATGATAAGGTTAGTAAATTTACGAGTTCCATTTTTATCAAAAAGCAGCTGTTAATGATATCAAAAAGCCTGGACTTTAATTTGGTTGTGTATAAAGTTGAAGCGTCGTAAGTTTTAAGCTGTTGATTTTGGTAAAATCATTCAAATTGTCCAAAAGTTTCTTGGATTTTTTTTAGTATCCACTTCTGATTTACACCACTTCTTGAATATATTGTTGAAGTTTCTCCTTTACTACTGTAAAAATCTTAGTGAGTATACATGAATAAATGAACTATTTTTTACCATTCTTTTGACTTAGAGTTGGGGAAGAGGTATCCGTAGTTCAACTTTAAATTATTTTTTTATCAATAGTGCATTATTTAAAGCCAGATTACTGATTAAATGCATTTGGCAATTGTTCTACTGATTTGGAGTAGTATTTTGCAAAGAGGCATTTTATTTATCCATATAACTATAAAATTGAGATACATACAAAATGTTTGATTACATGGCTTAACAAGAATTTTGATATCTTAATTACATTAGCATTGTAACACATAGTATTTAAGCCACTATATTATGTAAATTTATAACTATTGACAAATTTTGATGTTAATTTTCTTTACGCACTAAATAAAAAAAAAATTCTATATAAACCATTGTTGCAATAAAGGGTGTCTATTACGTGTGTTAAGGTCATTTTTTCGTACTTTCAGTATATTTATATATTATTCACTGAATAACATACATATACTGTAACATTCCAAAAAGGTGTTTATAATTAATATGACATCCTAACAGAGTTCTTATAAAATGATTGTACTTGTGGGCAATGCGAATAACTTGATCAAAAAGAGATTGTGCACATGTATGTCTTCACTTTCTTTTCATATAAATTTTTAAAATGTCATCAAAGGGATGAATTCACAGAGGAATTAGAAATTCTCGTTCAGTGAATTTCTGTTTGAATCTTCACTGACATCAATTTCTTTTCTTCAGTGCTTTAGAATTTAAACAAATTCAACATCAGAAAAATGTTATGATTTATTTAATTTTGTCCAGTTTCTGGCAGTAATACTTCTATATTACTTTCCATTCCTATTTCAATTGCGGTAAATGTGTCACTGGTTGACATAAAGCATTCTTGAGATGGACTTTGAATGTCATCTTCATTAACTTTATTTCCATTTTCTTCTTTAAATGTATCAGATTCGTCTGCAAGCAGTTCTTTGTTACAATCAGATATGTCATCAATCTGAGCGACAAACACATAATCATCTTCAGTCCTGAAAGGTAATTCCAGTGCATCTTCCCGATTTTTAGATACTGGTATATTTTCCTGATGTTGTACGGGGTCTTGTTCTCTGTGTGTTATAATTTCCTCTGGAATTGTATCGTAAGTTTCACTTTTGACTTCGTATTCTTTTCTTTTATTTACTTGATTTGATTTATTTGTTGGATAAGTATAAGAGCTATGTGTATTTTGACTTTGCATTTCCTCATATTCTTCACAGTCAATTTCTGATTCAGTAACATTAGATTTTTTTCGATGATATATAAATACGGTAAATAAAACCATAAACAAAACAACAATTCCAGCAAATGTATATGCGATAATATACTTTTCCGAAGAAAGTTCAACGTTTGAAGTAGTGTTATTAGTTTTATTTACACTGCTTTCAGTGGTGTTATTGTCAATCACTGTGCTCTCCGAAGATTCACTGTAGACTGAAAATAGTATAGGTTACATAAAAAGATCTGTATTTATAATAATTGTGTTATCCGTAAGGTTATCTGGTATTTGTTACATATATAAGTAGACTATCTTTGATAATTAACCGCGTCTAAAACGTTGCTTTAAGTGAATAAAGACGCAAATCGATTATTCCGTTCTTAAACTAGTGATCATAACTCCATCAAAGAAAATCAAATCTTTTATTACACCTTAATGCTAATGCATTTTTATCAGGGCACTTCCAATGCATCACATTTTTGTTAATCTTTATCGTGCTTCAAATCGAGAAAAAAAAAAACAAAGTAGTTTGAAATTATTGCTATTATTACTTATTTTTGTATTTTTCGCGAATTTATCAAATGAAGGATATGGAGATAACCAACAGTATTCAATATCGAGGTCCACAAAACATTACAAATTAGTAGCAGAGCAGAGACCTCCAAAACATCAGAGTTGGGATCAGGTGCCATGGAGGTGCCGACACGGATGATAGAAAAAAAACGCGAGGGTTTAAACGATGAAATTTATAATTCCTTAAAAATTATATTATTAAACAAAATTGATTATGAACAAAAAGAAACGACTAATTATATATATAAAATCATGGTAAAGCATGACACTAAGTATCACAGATATGACTAAAACTTAACATAGAGCATCTGCCATCTGACAGGTTCTACTCATGAAATAAATAACCTGTTTGAAATATGCATCCAGAAACATGATTGCAGGTATCAGCAGTGCAGTTGCACGCTAATTGGCATTGGAAAC